TCACCTGCTCGATCTGTCTTCACCGTGTTCGCGCTCCCTGTGACAATTCGCTCCGTGCAACTGACATTGAATTCTGTCTCTCGCATCCACAGATGGTCCTGCGGTACATTTGCCCGGTTTGCGTTCCCAGGATTGCGAATTACGGACGCGATATTCCTAGCGACCTTTCCTCCATGACTTGCTCTATGCTTGGTGCTTCAATCTCGTCTCCTAGTAACCCGCCCTCCACTCCGCGTAACAAGCAGTCGCAGTCGTCCCGGTCATCACGATTCGTCGAGCCGCCTAGCAACAATACCCGCTCAGTTGTGCACTTGCTTAAGCTGGAAGAACGGCTACAGAGCCTACTGCGGAAAGTCGAGGGCCTAGCCTAACGACGACAACAACCTCCCAACCATCCTGCGTTACGTATCGTCTCACCGTTGCCAACTGCTGATCTGTCCAACACTCACCGACGACCAACTGTTCCGTCGGAGGCCCCACCAAGTAAGCTTGCTACCGCTCCACATCCGCGTGTGTCTAAGCGAATAAAGAGTAGCCCTACTCCTAATTCTGTCATATGCACAAACGTGCCCGAGTCCAACGACCTTCAACTTCCGAATCGACATTCTCATGATTCCACAATGTGGAGCTCAAGCTGTATCGCGTTAAACCTCCCTGAAACAAAACCCATTGGTCTCACCAGAATGACTCGCCACCCGAGCGCCGGTAAGCCAAGGCTTTGCGTGTTGACTTGCAGCCAGGCCCGGCTATGGAGGATGTCCTGTTGTCAGCCTACCTACTCCAAAACAACGTGTCCCTTGGCATTTACCAAATTCGTATCTTCCCCGACAGCCCTTGGAATAAGCGCGGTGAGTGTAGACAGCAACTGACGCCACCCACTCAACCACGCTCCAGCATAGTGCATGACGTCCCAGCACTGCATGTCATAGACGTAACCTTACGACAACGACAACAACATGAATGTACTCAATGGCGGTTCCTTCAGCAGACATTACATATTGTCAATGTAAGCACAACGGACGTTCACCGCCTACCGCGTCCAGCAAGTTATGCAGGAACAGCCCCACATCTCCAGAAAGTGACAATCCTCACCGCTAGCATGGCAACCGATGCACTCACCATCTGGTATGCTAGTAAAAGACGAGCACCACAAGCTATCAGTCTGCATCGTGATGGACACCCGGGGCCGAGGTGCACAGCTTCATAGAGACCCCTAGCAGCAGCAGCAGCAGCAGCCAACTCGGTACCGACATACTATGGCCAACTTGTTCTCAGACGGTCCATCACCGAAACCTCTGCCTCACTGCCTGGAGTAATCTACTCACCAACACCTTTCAACCTTCAGTCTTTCAACGACCCAGCCGCCAGCACCCATTTGTGCTCCGGCGACCCAGCCCGTGCTTCCCCAACTGCAAACCTTAGCGGCTCCACCCCTCTAAACAAAAAACGAAGCACTGCCGATCATCTGTTGACTAGCAGTACACTAGCTACTCCCGCGCTCATCACTGAAACGGGCCTCGTCTGTATCTACACCAACGCACAGGGCCTCATGTCCAAACTTCCGGAGCTCCAATCACGACGTCTGTCAACGTCAGCGAAGCTAATAGCCATAACGGAAACGCGGCTCTCCGACGACATCACCGACGGTGCAATTCAACTTCCTCACATGATATCTCCCTCAGTTGCAGCATGTTAACAAACACTGCCCTGCAGTCTCCAGACACCATGTGGTTCGAGGTCGTACTAACCACCAAACATTCCAGCTGTCTTGGTATCATTTACCGCCAGCCAAATAACTCCCCCGAGAAGGACGCACGACTACTGCCTGCCGTCCACCTTATGTTATCCCTCAAGCGCACACACTTTCTTATCATGGGAGACTTCAACCTGCCCCGTCTATTTCACTTTTTCCAGTCTACTGACTCCTTTGCATCAGGCCTCATTGATCTTCTTCACACGGCCCCGTTGTACAACCACAAGTAACAGCCGACCAGCTTCCAATCCAACAACCAAAACTCCCTGCCAGATTTCGACCTCACTAACAAAGAATTGATGGTTGAGCTGGTTGAGTATGATGCCTCTTTGGGGGCTTAGAGACCACTGCGTCCTCCGTTTCGATTTTATATGCTTTGCCGAAAAACCCGTCAGCACGCCAACTTATACCAAACGCTGGATTGATTACGGAAAGTCGAGCCTTCTCATTTCCGCTAACAGCTGATCACCCGAGCTCCAATCGAGTGCCGATAGCGCTTGGCCAAGCTTTTGCCTTACCCTAAATGAACTCTGCTCCACTACGACGAGCTGTAAAGAAGTTTCCATAGGGAAGAGACGCCCGGCACTCATCTGAAGTCGTACACAGAAGTGGATTGCCTCCAGGGACACGGCATGGAGAAATCAGCGCTCTCACCCAACGGCCACCCAGTGCGAATATTAGCGATCTATCCGTAACCCATGCGCCCAGCTTGCACGAGAAGATAAGAGTGAGCATCAGCGTCAGCTTATGCGTAAATTGTCACCCAATCCAGAAGCCTTGTATGGTCACGTCAGCAGTCTTCGAAAAGTCAAGTATGGTGTCACCGCACTGATGACCCCCACAGGGATCACGAAGTCAGCGAACGTGGCAGCAGAAGTCCTGTGCCAGCTTTATGTATCCACTTTCTCTATTCCATCAATACATACAACGATAGTACCTTCTTCGGTCTCATTCCAACTTCCTTGACGGCTGTTCATTACACTCCGGGGAAGGTCCTGGCGAAACTCAAATCCCGGCGGCTTACGACCTCTCCTGGCGCTGACGGTTTCCAGCCAAGACTCTTGCGAGCGTGCACTTCAGCCCCAGCATTACTCCTACCGGGGCTGTTTACCCACTTCTTCTCGTAAGGCAAACTTCCCAATGACGGAAATGTGGGACTATTACACCGATCTACAAAGGCGGTACTCGCAAAGATCCGGCCAATTACCGATCGATAACTCTCCTCTGTAGGATCTCCAAAGTGATGGAATCGATCGTCGCAGACGCTTTAATGCAGAGGTCCAGAAACTGCGCTCCGATTGGCAGCACGGTTTCCGGCGGCAACGGTCGTGCCTGAATAACCTGCTACTTGCCAGGGCTAGCTGGATGACTGCCACCGACTGTGGCCTAGAAACGCGGGTTATGTTCCTGGATTTCGTCAAAGCTTTCGACAAGGTCGACCGCGACATTCTACTACAGAAACTGTTGCCTTACGGGGTTACAGGGGCCTTGCTGGCTTGGATCCGGAACTACATTCAAAACCGTACCGTCCAAGTACGCGGTGACGGAGCGTTGTCTCCCCGCATCCTTGCTACAAGCGGAGTTCCACAGGGTCTGTTCTCGGACCGCACCTCTTCCTAGCCTTCATCGATGACATTATACAGCGACTGGAGTCTTCGCTTATGCTGTATGCGGATGACGCGAAGCTGTGGTGCACAATTAACCTTCCGGACGACGCCCACGCACTTCAGACAGACATCGATCGTCTACTTCAGTGGTCCGTAGAAAATAACCTTCCATTTAACGCTTCGAAATATCGCGTCCTTTCTACCCGCACATCCGCGTTTTCTCATATATATTACCTGGGTGTGTCTATCCTCCAGAACTCCTTAGCCGAAAGAGACTTGGGTATCAGTACCCAGACGAGTCTTTCCGCATCCGCTTCCTGCCGGAAAGCAGCTGCTGTTGCTAACCGCATGGTGAGACTGCTGAAGCGAGCCTTCGGTCAAATTGACCCTAGCAATTTCCGCCTCCACCTCAACGCTTTTCTTCGACCCCACTTGGAGTTTGCTATTCAGGCTTGGAGCCCCTGGTTGTCGAAGGACCAACGCATACTCGAAGCCCCACAACGTCGAGCAACGAAACTGGACCGAAGTCTCAAGCATCTAGATTATACACAACGACTTCACTGCCTGGGCTTCTACTCGTTTAAGTACCGACGTCAACGGGGGGACCTGATCCTTGAATTTATCATCTTATCCAACTCTGGACATCACTGGCGCCACCTACTCACACTGCAACAATCGCGCTCCCACCTAAGTGGCCATCCACTGAGGCTCACACATCAGCACAGTCGGCTGAACTGCAGACGACACTACTTCGCTTTGCGAATCTGCCGCCTGTGGAATGTTCTGCCTGCCGAGTTAATCTGGGCGCCCACTGTGGCGGATTTTAAGACCCGCCTGGGCTGTCAGCTGGCCGAGCTGCACCGCGATATTCCCTGAGCTAACTACCTTCCACTTGATGAAGTGTCGTTCTTTTTTCTTCTACCTACTTCCTTTCCATAGCCGTTTCGGAGGGCGTGGTGGGATGTCACGCCTTGAGCCGGCGTGAATTCTGTTTAAAAGCCGCATAAACCCGATGAAGATACAGCTAACGCGCGAGTCCGACCTGCTATAAGGTTGCTTGGCCGTTCATTAGACCCGACCCGAACCCTTCTTACCCTATGGGTCAGGTAAAGCTCGAGCTTTTATTCCCTTTAAATACAATGTTTCAATGTTTCCAAATATATGAGGCGGCGACGGTAAATGAAAGAGACTCCGTCTAATCGTAGGAAACAGCCACACAGAGGAGCTGCAAGAGGATTTTACAGGTACCTCATTAAGGAAATAAGAAACAACGGGGAATCCTTCCCGGTAGGTTGGGATACAATTACCTGAGAGAACTGGACACACATTTGGCGATCAAGTCTGTCGTTCCTACCCTCCCCCCATGTGCTTCTAAACAATGTCGTAGTACCAATTAAACGCTCTTAACATCGGTTATCCACAATTTTCCGAAACCTGCCGAAATCATTACCTTGACGATGGTTTCTAATGTGGCGCCTATTTACTTGAAAGCCTGATGTAGTCCGCCATAACAACAACAACAGATATTCTAATTACATCATTTGATAGTAAACATAATCTAAGTTAAGCTGGCCTGACCTGACCTGACCTGACTTCACACAATGACATGCACAGCCTAGCATGCCTAGCGAGCCTAACCCGCTGCTAAGCGAGGCTCCGGTCGTTTCGGTCCAATTCACTGACTGCGGCTACTGCTAGTCAGCGTGATCCGATCCAAACGCATTTTTGAATTTTTCGGTACGGTTTTTCGGTGAATTTCCGTTATCACATGCTGGGTATTCTAAAGGAATCTGCTATATGCGCGTAGCATTATTCATCTTACATTCCTAATTCATGTTACCTCGTCTTGTGCCCCTATGGAATCAAGTGCAGTGCAAGTCAAGCCCGAGCCCTCTTCATTACGTCGTGATTCATCTGCTTCCCTCTGCATTTTCCGTGATCATAGCAAAGCTAGCCCATCATTTTGTTCTGATTCGAATGAAGTATCTCTTCGGGTTTCACAAACCTGCGCGGTTGATGCTGATGACTGCAAGCTCAGTCTTGCTCTGGGATTCTCTGGTCATGAAGTCTGCAGTCTTCCGACTGCCGGCGATGTGGATTTTTTCTCATCAGAATCAACAAAGCAACCTAGTAGGGATGCTCCACTGGACTCTCTAGTTAATCTTCCGTGTATCAGCACTTCCTCGTTATCATCTTCCTCTGTGGAACACGGATCAAAAACCGGTAACTTCTCCCATGCATTCACATGTGGCAGAGATGCACATTATGAGGCTCCGGATTCTACAGAGATGTCTGCTATTAAAGTGTCGCAGTCCTCCTTTACTAAGCCTAGCGAGGCTTTATTTGTGCGTGCTTTAATCGGGCGCTGCAAACGTATAGCTCCTCTCTGGTTTCGTGGTGTATCTTCCATGCGCGAGAGAAATCGAGAAGAGAATCGGAGAATGGCAAATAACAACGGACAAACGCAAAGTGACTGGAGCCTTATTGGACTCAAGATTGCTGTAAGTAAATTCTTCCATATTCCCGAAAGCCATTTCGCCTTCCTTACTGAGTCCTTGACACGGTATTTCTGCCCTGACTATCAATGTTTGTTAAATGACCGGTCTCCTTTCCAGCAATTTTAAAACTAGTCTTTTCTACCACACTTTCTTGCGTTTGATGCTGTAGCTAGTGGCGTCTCATCATTATTACGTGCATTAGTTTTATAGCCCCCAATGTCTTGGCCTTTTTCTGACGTGCCTTTTCTCATTGCAACTGAGCACTTTGCTTTACCAACGTGAATGGGCAGCTAATCCTCCTATTTTCTCGTGCTTTCGGTCACTCGCAGTATTTTAAGAGCATAAAATTATAAAGTAATGCGTTGAAAGTGACCTCACATCATTAACACTACTAGTCATTCTTTATTCGCATTTCGTATTTGTAAACTTTATTTAGTCAACACGAGCGATCGATGGACTATTGCTGAGTAGCCGAATACGGGCTCATGTCTGATCCAGCGAAACAAATTCCAGACACGAATCGGTCATCCCAAAGGTGTCAAGCGTACCCTCACCTATGTACTGCGTTAATACACTTTGAGAATCGATATGCACTCCGCGCGTACGATATTCACAACCAGGTCGAAGTACATTCACTGCATCGGTTAAGGCTATGCTGGAGAATTCTTTGGGTGTTTTAAATCAAGTTAGATCAGGTACAACGGACGATAAAGGCTTCGCCTAACTTGCGTCCTGTTTCTTGCGCCGGTAAGTGAAGTGGCCTCCGACGTCGGATTGACTCTTCTTGCTTCTGCAAAGTAAGGAAACAAGAACAGGAGCAATCTTTGCACTCTTATGTGTCAGCATCAGAATACATTGCGTGTTCTAGTACAATTATAATATCTCTGGGAACAGCTCAGACCAACATTCATCTTTGGCTTCTTCAGACTCACATTCCACTAAATCGGAAGGAACTTTATCCCAAATGTTAAGTACTCGGTTCGTAAAAATTTTGCCTATATGTCCAAAGGAGCTCTATGTTGTTTGAGCTTCAGGCGATGCCCGCGCAGGTGGTCCGACATAGCTAACTCAAACAGATAGGTGTGACTAATATCACCAAGTCCCTTAGTAATCTAAACGTCTCCTTCAAATCCCCTCTCAACCGCCGTTCCAAGGAAAATAATCACAAGTTACTTAGATTTTCTTCGTACGACTTCCCTCTGACCTTCGATCATCCCGGTCGCAAGTTACTGAACCTTTTCTATACACATGGCGTCACTATGAAGATACGGTGCCAAGGCTTGAACACTACTCCAGACGTGGCCTAACCACTGCTTTATATAACGGCAGGAATACTGCTTTAGTGTTACTCAGCGCCCTCCTAAGGCGAAACAACACTTATCGCGCCTTATTGGCAGCATAGCGACACTGTGCCGAAGGCTTAAACCTGCTCACTATGATGACACCTAGATCGCGGGCTTCATCAGTACACTGCAATGATAGAGATCCCGCAGGAGACTGCACTGCAATTCCGTTGCTACTATTGGCCAATAGTTGACATTTATTGGCATTCGGAGATAAATCCCCTTGGCTTGATCAGTTCACCACAGTGATGATATCTTTGGCCAATGTCGCTCGGTTTCCCCTACTGACTAGCTCTAAATCATTTGTGAAGATATAGCAGGGATCCTCAAGAAGAGGAGCTTGGTCTTTTATAAACATAAGAAACAACAATGGATCTAGTACCGAACCTTGGGGGACACCGCTGTAAGCAAGGCCTACACTGGAACTCGCTTCCCCAACCCTGACTCTGAATGTTCTTCTACGTAAGAATTCAGAAAGCCACATTGATAGCTGAGGATGCAGTCCAAACCATGTCAGCTTCACAATTAAAAATCGATCATTCACTGAGTCAAGGGCTTTACTGAACTCTGAATAGCACACCTCCACCTACATCCCACTATCAAGACATCGGGTAATCTCCTCTAAGACTCTAAGACTCGACTTCCTTTTAAGAAAGCCATGCTGTTCCGCTCTAATTACATTGTGTTCACAGATCCTGTTTCTTATAAGCTTTTCCAAGTTTTTCAGCATGATGCTGGTCAAACTAACAGGTCTGTAGTTATGAGGCACCGACATAGGACCCCCTTGTGGATGGCAACAATGGTCGCCTCCTACCAATCACGTGGCAGCATGCCTTCTTGAAGAGTGGTTAAATAAGTCCGCGACAGGATACCGAAGAATATCAGCCAGCGGCTTATCTATGGCGACATGTACACTGTCAGGGTCAGCTGATTTATAGGGATTCGAACTGGCCAACACTGTGAGGACCTCTGGCACATTGATAATTTGAAACACTGAGTCCCCTTCAATCACTTCATTAATGCAGTAAGAAGACATAGGTTGCGATATGTTAACATTTCGATTGCTCTCGTCAGTCGCTACGCAATACAGTACACATTGATAATTTATTGTATACCTACTTGTGCAATGCAGTTGTGATGGCAAGACTGACCCACTATACTTCTGATGCAGATTTTGGTAGGCATGTAGCAACGCTTCTACTTTATCGACCTCGTCTACAGCCTGGCTGCCATCCACCATGGTTAGACAGCCGACCGCCTCTCTTATAGAAACCTTTGATTGGACATAACTGTAATAACACTTGGGATTTATTTTCGCAAACTTGGCCAACCTAAGCTCATATGAGTAATTCGCCTGCCGCTGCAATTTAATAGCCATGTTTCGGCATCTTTTGTATTGCAGCCAATGTCAGAAGCCCCGACTTTCTTGGTATTTTCTCCACTCAGCATTGCCTCTTTATCGCTGTTAATCTTTTTCCTGCACCATTGGGGTTTGCCAACATGTCTCCTAGGGCGAATGGGTGCAAATTCGTTCAGTAACTGCACTAGCCCACTTTTGAGTAAAACCCACCTCTGTTCCAAAGTAGCCTGGTCCCGTTCATGGATCCAAGTGATTTGAAGAGCTCGATCGCGCAACTTCGTATAATCAATGCGATTTAAATCCCCCATTCGATGATTCTCCGTAAACCTCGGTGTGTTCAGAGAAAAGGTCAAAACGCAATGCTCACTCTTACCTATGTGTGACTCCACGCGTAGGTCAATCAAGTGATCATGTCCGGCGATCACGAAATCAAGGGTTGTAGGGGTACTCCCAGTACAACTTCTGGTCAGAACATTGACGTATCGCTCGAACCCATTTTCGTGCATCTAATCCACCAATTCTTACTCCAGAGTACCCGCCCTGTTTTCAGCATGCTGGCAATCAGCATGGGGAAGATTTAGGTCACCAACGATCAGGAAATCAGGGGCGGCCATCGCCTTAATTACTTACCAAGATCCTTGCCCTCTTCTCGCATGGAATATGGGCTATGATAGACACATACTCTAATTTTCAATCTATCCCACACTTAGAAATCGGGATACCACCAGAACGTTTGCAGAACTCATGGTAAATGGAGCCTCCCAGTGTTTATATTGGCACTTAATAAGCACGTGGACTCCTCCACCAGTCTGATACCCGGGCCCGTCAGCTATGTAGCACGCGAAGTCTATAAGCAGATCACTAATAAAGTCGTCTGGAGAAATCCAGGACTCCGACACAGCAACCACATTAACATGCTGGCGATTCGTCACTAACTCCGCATTTGTTACGCACACTACAGCAAATAGTATACCACACGCTTAGTGTCTCCGAATGCGGTTGTTTCCGCTCGGGCTCTGCGCCCGAGGGGACAACCCCTATTTTTGTTCCCTTTCATTTCCGTCGGCTGCCTGCATCAATGAATCGACGCCTCGCTGCTGTAAAGTATTACGGGATAATCCCTTTGTTGGCTTCGCCCGCCCTGGCTTTCTGGATAAACTCCCGACTGGTTTTCTCCCATTTAACTGAGTCGGCCTAGTAGCACTGCACTTCAGTTTTTCTGTACCGTCCACGTTAGGTATGGCGTTTTTCATTTCCCCTACCATTTTGTGAAATGGTCATACCAACCATGGACTTTGGTGCCACTGCTATCGAACGTGAGGCCTCAATTGTTTTTGAACGCACCGCCTGAAGTCCCATCGCCGCATCTACACCACCCACTCCCTCAGCTGCGCACCTCGCTTATAGGTAATCGTCTTTGCATTGTTTCCAGCTACACAACAATGCCTGTGAGTATTGGTTCATTAGGTTGTAGAGAGCAGAAATGAAGTCCTTTGTTAGCCTCATCACTTTGCACTCACTGTAGGGATCATGTGAGTTGATGCGGCAGTGTCCCACAAGAGAGTATTGCGGTCACAGTCAACACAGCAAGATCCATGCTTGTACAGCAAATCGATGTCTAGCAACCGTTGGAAACATTCCACTGTTTGCGCACTGACGACTAGCTCAGGTAAACTGTTCCAGTCACTCACCACACGAGTTGGCAAAATGACATCAGAGCGAACCCAATGCCTCCTTGGTTTAAACAGCTTCATACCGTGGCCTCGTCGTACTCTCCGTAAAAAGACGTAAGCACTATTGTACCTCATTACATATCTCACCCGGAAAATGCGCCGCGTGTAAATCAAGTCACCACGGCGACGACGACACTCCAGGGAGAACAAGTTCGTCCTTTGAAGGCCATCAGAGTAAGACAGGTTTCTGAATGTCATGACAGATTTCGATCCCCGCCGCTGAACCTTCTCTATCAGTACACATTCGGCTTTCGTAAAAGGATAGGTTGCTGGCAATCCGTACTAAACAATTGGTCGAACATTAACGCTAAACAGAAGTGGGAATATCTCTCAAGTCATCTGGGAAAATGATCACCTTATGGAAATGAACACCCCATTAGCAACGGCAACTTTCTTTTGGGCGTCCTGAGTCCCCCGTAGGTTTGACGGGACAAGAACTACCAGGTCCGTCTCCAAGGTTACCTTCCTGGGCAGGGAGCCCCCAATGTAATAAACACCAAGGGGGTCCCGGACACCAACTGGGAGGATGGAACACTTAGAATGGTTACTGGGTAGCCGCCACTTCAT